AAATGGGGGCTGGGGAGAGGCCTGGGCTTTGCCTTCTCTTGGCCTCAGCATTAAGCCACTTAGGTCCCTTCTGTGCTTCCCTCTGGGTAGAATGAGGCCCCTCCTGCCAGGTGCCAGGCTTGCTTAGCCTCTCTCTGGAGCCTTCAACTCTTAGCCTCTTTCTGGGCTCCGAATGGCTTCTCTTCTCCGCCCCCCCCCCTTTTTTTTCCCCCAGCCATGGATTCTCCTCATCCTCACAGGGCTGAATTCTCAGGAAGATTTGAGCCCTCACCCCCACCCCTTCCAGGCCCAGGGTGGCCAAGTTCTTCTCTTTAAGACGTTTCCTGCCAAAGAGGGTGAGGGTTTGGTGGGACCGTTGGGCGCTGCCAGGTGCTGTGCTCCTTCCCTGATTAGAAGGTAAAGCAGGCATGCAACCAACCTGGGGTTGCGGACGGATGAACACATGGCACTCAGCAGGTGCAGAGGGACAGCCAACGGGGCTGGGATTTGGGAGCGTGGCTTTCTGTTTTCTTGAGGGAGGGAGGCAGACTCAAGCTGAGCTGGCCAGTAACTGATGATCTGGAGATTTAAAGGAGGGGTGACCCCCAGCTGTTTGGAAGTTGTTCCAGCTGTTGGGGATGGCACGGCTGAGTGCACGGACTTAGGAAACGAGGTGGGGAGAGGAGGCTCTAGACAAGAGGGTTTCGAATGGAAAGACCTGCAGATGAGGATGCAGCAGAGCAATGGGCAAGGGACCCCCACTTTGGCGAAGGGTCAACAAGAGTCCTAAGTTGAGCTCCAGCACTTGCCGACCAGCTGTGTGGTAAGTTCCTCAGTTTCTTTGAGCCTCCATGGCCCCATCTGTGAATTGGAGACAATAAGCCACAGCTCACAGGCTTGTTGTGAGGATGGGAGTTAATGAACATCCAGCTCCTGGAACACCATAGGCATTCCATAAATGGTGGCTGTTATGTTATAATAAGCCCAAGGAAAGAGCAACAGGAAGTCAGATAGTTGGCGGAGGAGTAAGAGGGTGTAGTCCACAGAGTGAGTAAGGGAGCGGACATTAACAGTTCCTAAGAAAAGACCATGACCGAGTGAGGGAAGGAGAGATCTGGAATGAGCTAGAGTGACCCTGACCCCAGGCTGGCCACAGTATATATGGCAGGGCCGAGAGGAGACGAGCAAAGTGCCTGAGGTTTCCTGGGGCCACAGGGCAGAGGCAGGGAAGAGAAGCAGGGGGCAGAGGGAGAGGGCTAGAGAAGTCTGGCCTTGGCCACGCCAAACTGACGAAGGCAGGCTGAAATTCCAGGAGAAATCCCAAAGAAAGCCCCTTGTCCTTTCCTGGCCAGAGACTGCTTGTGAAGTGGGGGGAGGAATTGTGGAGTCAGAGGCTGAACAGAACCTCATCCAGTCCAGCCAGGGCCCTCTTCCCGAACCAAAAAAACACCAGGATTTCCTGTAGTTGGAAGGAGGGACGGGGAAGAGGTGGGAACAGAGAGAGAGAGACCTGATGAACGGGTATGTGCGCACATCTGCATGTGTGCGTGTGTTTGCACGTACCCACGCATGCGAGCACACGTGGGAAGGAGTCAAAGTTTTGAGTTGTGGGCCAGGTCTCGGTGAGAATACAGAGTAAGAGAGGCCAGATCTCGGTGAGAATGCAGAGCAAAAGACAATGTACAAGGCGGCACGAGGTACAAAGGCTTTGAGGTGAGAAGAAAAGAAATGGGAAACTTGACTCTACCATTTTGCAGAGTTGCCATTGAGGCAAGTTATTTAACCTCTCTGAGCCTCAACTTCCTTGTCTGAAAAATGGGGATAATATTACAGGACTGTTACATGGACTAAGTGCGACCTCCTAATCTTGAACTGTGCTTGGGTGCCTGGGCAAATCGGAATCTGAGGACAGGGCCAGGGCCCGACAGAGCCAGGGGAGTCTTGTCTAATTAAACCCGAGAGCAGAAACAGGTCTGGAGCAACACAGAGCACACCAATACTTGGACTTTAACCCAAAGTCACAAAAACGGTTTGGATTTCAAAATCAGGTCCCTCCCCTGGATGTTTTTAGAATGAAACCCTTGAGGTACTGATGTTGACATAGGGATAAGCTCTCCATCTAAAGGGGAGAGCAAAATTCGAGATCCCAGTGCCCACACAAGGGTGCTTAGGGGCCCCAAAGGGAGCTTTTACTGGCTATGTCCCAGAGGGTGCAAAATGCGAGGTGAAGAGCTGCAAGAGCCTAGAAATTCAGGAGTGGCCAGGCTGACTGAGGAGCACCCGTGAGGAACACAGGGAACAGCTGAAGTGTGCTTTGGAGTTTGAGGAAGCAGCCCGAGAAAGGTAAGGCAGGGGAATCAGAGCAGATCAGAAGGCAGCGGAAAGCCCTGGGAAGGAAGGAGAGGGAGAGTTACCAGTCCGTAGGAAATGGGAGAAGGGGTTAGAGAAGAATACAAGCCAGACCAGTTTTGAATCCCCTTGTTCCTATTTTTTTTTAAGATTTTATTTATTTATTTGATAGAGAGAGAGCACAAGCAGGGGGAGTGGCAGAGGGAGAGGGAAGAGCAGCCTCCCCGCTGAGCAGGGAGCCCGATGCGGGGCTAGATCCCAGGACCCTGAGATCATGACCTGAGCCGAAACCAAGAGTCAGACGCTTCACCGACTGAGCCACCCAGGCGCCCCTGAATCTCCTTATTTCTAAAAACACTCACAGACAGGCACCTGGGTGGCTCAGTCGAGCCCTGCATTGGGCTCTGTGCTGGGGGTGGAAAGTGCTTGAGATCTCTCTCTCTCTCCCTCTCCCTCTCCCTCTGTCTACCCCTCTCCCCACCTGCTGACCCACACACTCGCTCTCTCTCTCTCAATAAATAAATAAAGAAATAAATAAATAAACACTCATAGAAAGAAAAATTATAATTCTAGCCAAGGTGGTAGAGCTTCTGGGCAAAAGTATGGGCTCCGGAGTCAGCTTGGCCCGACTCCAATCCCACTTCCATCACACACTAACTGCACTGACCCATGTGACCCTTGGACAAGTCCCTTCACCTTGTGTTACCTCAGTTTCCTCTTGTGTGACATGAGGATGAAAAGCAGCACCTACCTCACGGGGCTGTTCTGAGGTTTACATGAGGTCGTGCACGTCCAAAGCCTGGCCTCACAGGTGCTCAGTAAATGGTTACTCTTAATAATGTTCCTTGACCACCTGTTTGTGAATCTAACGTGTGTCACCAGATGAGGCATTTCTTTACGGTGTAACCATCGGGCCTCCTGCGGCAGCCCTGCCTTCAGAACCCGGGGCTGAGGAGAAAGGGCACCTAGGCTCCTGCTTCCCCATGCTGGTTTAGGCCCCAGCATGAACTCACTAGGGCCTTTTTTTTTTTTTTAAGTTAAATGAAAAAAAGAAAACCTTATTCAGAGAAGTACTCTGTGTCCCGTGGACCATCCCTTTGTCCCCTGGGGTCTTTCATCCCATTCCCCAGCTTTTCCATGGCTAATATCTTCCCCTCCCCCTACAAGAGAGAAGAGCACCCCGACCTCGATTCAGGGCTTCTGCCACCACCACTGCCCCTGCACGGGGGGCAGGAAATGCCCTACATTCCCCATGGGTCCAGGCCTGTGTGCTCTCCTCACACCCAGGTCCCTGCTTCCAGCATGATCTACTTTCAACTTACTGGCAGAAGTGATGGGACGTAGCGGGGGGTGGCCTTCTTCCCCTGCGCAAAGCGCAGAGGGGAGTTTCTACCCTAGAGCCACTGGCAGGCTCGGGAACCCAGGAGGTCACAATGTCCATTTGATGTCGGGGGCAGGACGGAACAGCCTGTTCTATCTCTGCACAGATACTATATGTCAACGGCAGCATTGGGCAGCGAAAAGAGGGACATTGGGTTTGGCAGACCACCCAGTCCCCTGAAGCAACATGTTTTCTCTTCCCGATAAGGTGCTTACCTCCCTTGATCACCAGCTATGAAAGTGGAGCCGGGCCAAGACCTCTTTGCAGGTGGCTTCACTGAAGCTCACAGTAACCCTGGGTATTAACAACCCACTGATAGATGAGCGAGCAGGGTCAGAGGAGGTCAGGAGCTAGCCCGCGGTCGTGTTAGGCGAAGAACCCGGATTCAAACCCAAAGGCGTATGACTCTTCCCTGTGCCATCTTCCAGCCTTCTGTTTGCTTGTTAACTTTTTTGCCTTCTCGCTCTGGTTTGCACTCACTGCATGCCCACCTGTCACCCGAAGCTCAAGGAGGGGTGGTCAGGGTTTGCTCCGTGACACCAGAGTTGGAAAGTACTCAGGGGTCTGCAGCTGCCATGTTCCTCGGGCTCTCGTGGGGAGCATTAACCCTTGCTTTTGTGGTCGTTCTTAACGGCTGGCTTTTGCTTTTTGCCGACACCCGCGGCGAAAAGCACGAAGGGCCTACCGGGGAAAGAGCCTAAGCCTCGGCTTCAGATGCTTGTGCGTTTCATCCTACCGTAACACTTCTTAGCTGTGTGACCTTGAGTAAGTTGCTTGACTTATCTGAGCTGCGGCCTCCTCGTCTGGACAGACTGGGATAAAGTCCTTGGAGGCCTGCTGAGTGGGTCCGAAGAAAGAACGTGTGGGGAAAAAGCTAATGGGACGTACGAGCGAGCTCACCCGTACATACCGTGCAGGGGCTCTCAACCTAGGAAAAGTCCTGCTGACCCTAAGTTTCTAGGGCAGTCACGGGCGACAGCCTCAGCCCGGAGCCTCCTGGTCCCCTCGGGTCCCCTTTTACATGCACCTGTCTTTGTCCCATCTCCCCCCACCCCCCGCCATGGCCATTCTTCTGGTGGGGCTGTGGGGCGGGTGCGGCGATGGACCGGGCGGGCACAGAACAGGTGGGTGCAGGCTGGGTGTCCGGCGCTGGGACACAAGTGCTCTGTGTGTAGGGTGGGCGGAAGTCAGGGCGTTTGATCTGAATTCTAAAGGGCGTTGTTCAGAGCCCCACAAAGGTCCCATTGTGCAGACACTGGGTATAAAGCAGCATATGACTCCCCAGCACCGGGCGGCGATGAATTGGAACGCAGGCGCGGACCCAGGGACCACTCCCCCTGCACAGACATGAGACCATAGGGGACCTGTCTGGGTGGCCTCAGGGATAGGCGCTCCCCAAGGTAACGGGCTTTGTTGGGCTCGCCCCAGGTCCAGAGCTAAGGAGCTGGGGGATGGGGAGCTAAAGATGATGGCTGCTGGCAGAACAAAATGGGCCTGCTAAAGAAAGGGGCTCTGGAGAGGAAAGACCGTTGGACGAAAGCGAAGAAGGGAGATAGGGCTCGGGGAGGTCAAGTCAAGTGAGGAGGAAGAGGAGGAAGAGAGGCTGGCAAGGGACATGGGGTGATGAGGAAAGCGATGACCATCCTTCTTCCCTTCCTGTCACTGGCTCTCGGAAGGGGTGACGGGGGTGGGGGGGGGCGTGTCAGGCCGTGTTACGGTGTCCAGCTTTCTGCCAGCCTGCTTTGTGGCTCGTGTTTTGCAGGTGTGAATGAGGCAGGATGAACTGGACAGGCTTGTACACCTTGCTCAGTGGCGTGAACCGGCATTCCACGGCCATTGGTCGCGTATGGCTCTCGGTCATCTTCATCTTCAGGATCATGGTGCTGGTGGTGGCCGCGGAGAGCGTGTGGGGTGACGAGAAGTCTTCCTTCATCTGCAACACCCTTCAGCCTGGCTGCAACAGCGTCTGCTATGACCACTTCTTCCCCATTTCCCACGTGCGCCTGTGGTCTCTGCAGCTCATCTTGGTGTCCACCCCGGCTCTCCTCGTGGCCATGCACGTGGCTCACCAGCAGCACATAGAAAAGAAGATGTTGCGCCTCGAGGGTCACGCGGACCCCCTGCACCTGGAGGAGGTGAAGAGGCACAAGGTCCACATCTCAGGGACACTGTGGTGGACCTATGTCATCAGCGTGGTCTTCCGGCTGCTGTTCGAGGCTGCCTTCATGTACGTCTTTTATCTGCTCTACCCCGGCTATGCCATGGTGCGGCTCGTCAAGTGTGAGGCCTACCCCTGCCCCAACACGGTGGACTGCTTCGTGTCCCGCCCCACCGAGAAAACCGTCTTCACGGTCTTCATGCTGGCCGCCTCTGGCATCTGCATCATCCTCAACGTGGCCGAGGTGGTGTACCTCATCATCCGGGCCTGTGCTCGCCGAGCCCAGCGCCGCTCCAATCCGCCCTCCCGCAAGGGCTCGGGCTTCGGCCACCGCCTCTCACCTGAATACAAGCAGAATGAGATCAACAAGCTGCTGAGCGAGCAGGACGGCTCCCTGAAAGACATACTGCGCCGCAGCCCCGGCACTGGGGCCGGGCTGGCTGAGAAGAGCGACCGCTGCTCGGCCTGCTGATGCCACGCACCAGGCAACCTCCCATCCCGCCACACACACACACACACACACACACACCCGGACCCCCACCACCCTGCCCAGGAGCCTGCCCCTCCTTCTCCCCTGCCCGGGTGCAGGCCTCTGTCTGCTAGGGACTGCTCCATCAGAATCTCCCTTTCCTCCCTGGTTTCCCTCCCTCGCAGGGCCTTCTGTCTGAGGGGCCCGAAGGGGGTGGGGAGCCGGAGGTCACCCACACCAGTGCTCAAGGTTGTGGGGGGGGCGTGCGGGCAGCTCTTCTTGTCTGTACCCCCTTTCCCCTTCCCTCTCCCTGGGGCCACTGGGGACAAGAGACAGGATGCTCTGACAGCATCTCGAATTATGAAACTAATCTTAACCCCGTGTTGGCACAGACCCTATTTCTGGAGTCACGTCAGTGGGGAGGGACGTGGGCAAGTGGAATGGAAGGAGGGTGCTGTGGACACGTGGGGGGAAGAAGGGAGGGTAGGCAAGGCAAGAAAAGGAGGGACACGTCCCGGGGGGAGGAATTGGGGGGGAGGGGCAGGCGGATAAGCTGGAGTGGGGGTGGGTCAGGGCCATCTTTGCCTCATTCCCAAGGCCTCTCTGTGCCTGCAATGTTACACATTACACAGGATTTTGCAGTAAATGAGGAGGTGGCTTGTGTGTTTGTCAAGTTCTTTCTCCTGCAACCTCTGACCTCCCCCTGAATGAGCTGGCCTTGGTTTTTTGTTGATCTAGAAAGCGATGGGCAACAGAAATAGTGAGACCCTGAGCCATCCTTGCCTCATTTGTTTTCTTTTGGGGGGGGCGGTGTTGGTTTAGTTTTGCCTTTTGGCTTTTGGTTGGGGGGGGCCTTAACAATGTTTTGATCACAGCTTTATGGGGATCAGATGCCCTGACCCCCTTCCTCTCCTTTTATTTTTTTTCATCCATTCTAAGTATAGTTTATGGAGTTCTCATGATTGCGTGCAGTTTCGTAAACACGGCCGCAATATATTATAAAACATTTACATTACCTCAAGAAGTTTCCTTGGGCCCCTTCCTCTGATTTGAAAAACATTACAATGACAACTCCATCTGGAGAGACAGGAAATGATAGAAAGATTTCGCAAGTCGGAGAGGGTAGCACACGGGTCCTGGGCGAGGGCCCCTCCTCCAAGCTCCTGGAAGAAATAGCCCCCTTCCTCCCTCGAACCTCACTACAAACTGATGCCCCCACAAGCCACCTGCTGGACTCTGACCCCTCTACCTGGCTTGGACATAGTCCCTAATTCGACCCTCGTCCCCAGTTGCCTTCCCTCAGGAATCAATGCTTCCCATCCCAGAGATGTCTCCAAACACAGGTCAGAACTTTCATAGCCGGGGCTGGGGGGGGGGTTGTCTCCTCACCCCACCTCCTCACTCCGAAGCACCAGGTAGCCTCCCTGCCCTCTGGCAGATGTGATGGGAAAAGCCCCAACCTGGGATTTGACCAAGCTGAGTTCAAGTCCTTGTTCTGTCCCTTAGGAGTAAGACATTCCCTTCCCCAAGCCTCAGTTTCCCTGTGAACAAACAAAGGCGGGCCTAGCACATGGCTGAGCTCCCTTTAGCACTCTGCGTTTCTGGGATTCCTAAGAGGCTTCCCCAGACTCACAGAGGTTTCCCCATCTCAGAGTTGCTGCCCTCACCAGGGAGCCTTCGGAGTGAAAGCCCCTCCCCCCCAATCCCCAGCAAGTTTCTCGCCTCAGTTCCCCTAACTCTTTAATATATTTTTTAAAGATTGTATTTATTTGACAGAGAGAGACACAGTGAGAGAGGGAACACAAGCAGGGGGAACGGGAGAGGGAGAAGCAGGCTTCCCGCGGAGCAGGGAGCCCGATGTGGGGCTCGATCCCAGGACCCTGGGATCATGACCTGAGCCGAAGGCAGAAGCTTAATGACTGAGCCACCCAGGCACCCCTTCCCCTACCTCTTAACAGAAAAAATGATTTCCCACTCCCTGTCAGAGTCCGGTGACTCTGTGTGACAAGTGCATCAGAAAAGAAGAGCAAATCGGGCATTTTCTCTAATCAGAATTGTTCTCCTCTAGAAACAGTCTTTCCCCTTCAGACAGAAAGCAGTGACAGTTTCCTCATTCTAGGAGGTTTCTCCTTTAGAAAAGAAAGGAGATAGCAAGCCTTTCCCCCACCCTCGGCAATCCCTGATTGACAGCTTCCCCCTTTCTTAAAAGAGAGAGATTACTTTTCTGGAAAAAAAAAAATGTCCTTTCTCTTTAGAAAGCGACACCATATCCTGGGAGAAGAGAGGTCCCCACCCCCAGGTCTCCCACGATAGGAGAGATCCTTTTTCTTATCAAAATCCTCCCCACCACCACCACCACCAACAGAGCACAAGGAACACAGAGCATCTCTTCTCTGTCCAGAAGGCTATCAAGAAAAAGATTTTCTCTTTAAAAATGTCCTCCCGGTTCCACACAAGAACCTCCTGCCCTCCCCACGTGGAGAACCGCGAAATCCATCATCGCCCCAGATACCGAGTTTCTCTCCAAATGATTCTACCACAAGAATCTCCCTTGGAAAGAGGCTCCAACTCCAGATCAAGGCTTTCCTCCCCAGGGGGCAGTGGTGGGACAACAAGCCACGAGCTGGCTATACAGCCAAAGGGACGACACTGACCCTTGCGTCCTGTGAACCAGATGGGAGCAGGCCAAAGGACCCTGAGGGGAGCTGGAGTACACAGTGTTGCAGGGAGGGCTAACCCAGGACTGATTTTTTGATCTGAGGCTTGTCACAAGAGTGTATGTAGGGGAGAAATGGGAGGCGAGTGGGCGTAGCACCTGCCACACAGTCAAACTACGGAGTGACCGCGGTGGTGGTGGCAGCGAGGAAAGCTTTGCAACACGGAGACCGGGGTTGCCATTTATGAGCTCTTTCCCCCGGGACACATGATACCTACCCTGAGTCTCAGTTTCTTCGTCTGCAATATACGGAGCATAACGCCCTCTCTACCTCTCCTTTCCCAGAACTGTTGTGAGAATCCAATCAGATGTGTTCAAAAGCTGGTTAGAAACTGCAAAGGTCAGATACCAGCAGAAGCACAGAGACCACAGCCTGAAGGCATGCTAGAACTTACAGTGAGTCAGAAAGGAGTGAGGCTGGTTCAGCTAGGCTGGGGCTCGTGGGCCGATAACAGGGTCAGCTCCCCCACGGAGTGGACAGCAGCCCAAACACCAAGGTCCAAGAGATGTTGCATATTCAAGGGATCTGATCTGGGGGCAGAAAAGGCCGAGTACCAGGAGCTTCTTACGCACTCTTTCTCCTGGTACTGGTGCTTTTAGGGACATTTGTGGTCTTTTAGGAGGCATCCGTGTGCAGAGATAACTAGGAGCTGGGGGCAAGGAGACAAGGCAGCTCCTGGATGAGGGGAATGGCTCCCTCGAATAGTCAAGGCCCCCCGACAACCGGGTTGGGATTTCAAAGCAGGCTGCAGTATCCACAGAGAACTGGCATGGCAACCATGAACCGATTCAGGTGCCCAATCAGATAGCCTGGGTGCACACAGTGGTGGCTAGTGGGGAATGCTTGCTCCATTTCCTGATTCCACAACATGTAAATGCCAGACATGACCTATGATAGACAAGGGGCCGGAAAGGCCCACCAAGCTGGACCCCGTTTGATTCCTGGATGAGGCCAGGCTGAACCGGTCAGGCGGGGGAAAGGATTGTGGCATTCTAGGGAGGGGGAATAAGGTGGGCATAGGACACAGACAGGGTATCTGAAAGGGTGGGATGCCGTCTTGAGTGAGACAGATAATCTACCGTGGCGGATTGGAGGAGTGGAATGGCCAGAGGGGAGACGGGAAAGAGAGAGTAAGACCAGCTTGTGATGGGCCTTGGGTGTCACCCTAAGAGGTTAAGACTGTCCTACCGGTGGTGGAAACCACTAAGGGTTTTGAGAAGAGGAGTGCTGCCTTCAGATTTGTGGCTTGGGAGCTGACTCCAGCAGCCACACGGAGAGTGGACTGGGGATGGGAAAGATAAGAGGCAGAATGACCAGTTACAGAGCTCCCGCAATGGCCCAAGTGGGCCCGTGCGACTAGGACAGTGGCAGAAGGAATAAGAGGAGACAAACGTGAGACATACTTTGGATATAAAATCTATGTAGGACTTAATGTCTGAGCGTGGGGAGATGAAGGAGCCAAAGACGATTTGGAGGTTTCCTTCTCTTTCCTTGACTGGCAGACTCCTAATCATTCCAGACTCAGCTCAGATGTCATCTCCCGTGTGAAGGCTTCACCTCTCTTCTCCCCTCGCCGTGTCCCCCACCAAGTCCCTCAGAGAGAATGAGTCCTCCCCTCATTCTGAATTCCTGCGGCACATTGTAGCGTTTATCGATTAGAGTACTTCTCGAATTGTATGGCAATCACTTGCGTAACCTTAACACGTAGTAGGTGCTTAGCCCGTTGGATCAAGGGCAGTAGGGAAGTGGAGACAGGCACGCACAAAGCTTCTAGAACCTTACCACGTAGTAGGTGCTTAGCCCATTGGATCAAGGGCAGTAGGGAAGTGGAGACAGGCACGTGCAAAGGTTCAGAGTCTGGAAAGAGTAGGGTGTGTTCAGTGTGACTAGAGCAGAGAATGCATAGGATGGGGTGGGGGGTCATAGTAGGATGTGAAACTGGCAAAGTAGTTTGGGGCCAGTCCAGGAGGGGGTCTCATATACCAAACCTAGAAGTGTGCACAGGGGCTTCGACTCTGTGCTATCCCATGTAGGAAACTTAACTTAGACTGACTGGCAGTTTGGTACTCATACAGACAGACTGTGAAGATCTTGAGGAGATCCAGGTCAGGGCAGCCCTTGGCACAAATAGATGTATTAAGGACGATGATGACCTATGGAAGAAAGAGCAGAATGATCTAACAGTGGACCTCACGGAGAAAGGGTAATTTACACAGGATGGTTCTCCACTTCTTTTTTTTTTTTTTAAGTTTATTTATTTTAAGTAATCTCGGCACCCAACATGGGGTTTGAACTCACGACCCCGAGATCAAGAGTAGCATGCTCCTCCGACTGAGCCAGCCAGGTGCCCCAGGATGGCTCACCATCTCAACTGGAACCCCTCTGGAAAGTCAGTGTAGCATAATGATTAAGAGCATGCTCCACTTCTTACCTGTGTGACTTTAGCCAAGTTACTTAGTTTGGCTTCCTCACCGGTAAAATAGTTATAGTAATAGGACCTGTATCAAAGGGCTATAGTGGGGATTAGATATAATAATTATATGTAAAACACTTAGAACAGTGCCTAGTCGATAGTAAGTTCTTTTTTTAAAAAAAGACTATCTATTTGAGAGAGAGAGAGACAGACAGAGGAGAGCGTGAATGGAGGA